AATGTTTTTGAAATTCTGAACAAGTCTATTCAAAATGATATTAGATTTTCCGAGTGATATATTTTAAAATAGATGACAATTATAGAAACACCCATAAAGTATTCTTAAATCAATATTACGATACCATTTCTAGTACAAGATAAACCTCTTATTTGTTTCTTTTTAAATTTAATATTTATATCATGTATGGTAATATTTTACAGTACATATTGTACGGAAAGCACTGCATATAAGACAATAGATGCCAGGTGTCGTTAAGTTTTTCTATTTAGCTGGCAAAACTTAAGAGTGTTCTGTATGTGCTGTTGTAATTTTCCGGTGAAAACCTTGCAAAAAATTTTTTCTATGCCATGGGGCGCAATTGTGGTATACGGCAAATAATACGTTAGCTAGGTTACTTGAAAAATTCATGATACATACGTACGATAACTCTGTAATAACTTTATGTGTTAAGGTAGTAATGCCTTTTTGAAGTAGTGTGCTTTTCTGTTAAGTAAAAAAAAAAAAATTTAATTATTCGCAGTTTTCATTGTTAGGGAGAGGGAATTAAAGGAGAAACCTTGAAAATAGTGGTGGAGAAAAAAAGGAAGCGTGTTTTTTTATTAGTTTCTTTTAACGCGAAATTCTATGAGAATAGACTAGTGAGTTGGCGCTATTCGTTTTGTTAAACAGATGCCAGGTCAGTTTGTTAGAAATTAGAATTAAATGCTGAAGAATAAAGATATACTGCAATAATTTGTGAATTAGGATAATTCTAATCTGAATTAACAAAAACAGACAAATAAAAGTAAAGCCTCCTTACAGCATTTATCTATGCCTTTTTTCTAACTGGATCTTTTTTACTCGGAAAAATAAAAAAAAACTACTTATATAATGTAAGAAGAATTACATTTTATCACATACTTTATTTCGTGTCATTATTTCAAAAAAAAAATTATGGAATTTGTCACGAAAGCTCAGTCTTAACTCTGTTGATTGTAACTAGAAAGATTACTATTTTATCACAGGAGGTCTTCATTAGTATAGCAAAATATACAGGCTATAATATATCACTAATGTATATATCTATCTATATATTTATATATACTAGCATTTTCTGTCACGGCCTTGCCCGCTCTTATATACATATAGAACTTCGAAAATTTGAACTAATTCTTCATTGATTACTTGTGAATAGTCCACATTGTATGTGGAAACCCATTGTAATTTTGAAAATCCGAATAAGATTATTATTATTTTGCATGATTTTCTGCAATCTTTCAATGAGTTCTCTTTTTAAAGTTGAGTTTATATTCGATCTGGCTACTATCTGGTCGATTCAGACATGAAATACATCTGTAAAAATATAGGAGTGTCTTCTGGATCAGGAAGTAAACTGCCATTCAACTGATAAACTTGACCCTGGATTTTAAATGTACGCATGAAATTCCCTTGTCTTATTTTTTTGGCTTCAAATGATGTCAGTTGAAATAGAGTGTTGTACTGTATAGAATTGTTTAAGAAATGTATAGAAAGAGGATCTGTTCCTAAAATTAAATTTTTTATGAAATCGGGAAGTTCTTCAAGTTGTTCAAAAACAGTTTTCTCCCGCAGCACAGCAAAGTCTAGAAGTTTCATCACACCATTTTTTGGCAAAACAATGATCACATATTTTGATCATTTTACCTCTTTCATATCCAAATAGTCATTTGCAGGATGATAATCAAAAGCTGATTCGTAACCTAAGAAATTCCTCGCTATACGCATTCGATTCTGAGCCGAATAAATTCGTTGCTCTTCCAGTCTTTGAGACCGCTCTGTTGTAGATTCACATTGTCTACAATTATGAACAATAATAGCTCTAGAACATTTTCTTCCTATTCGTGCTCCCGCAGCACTCGGCATTATTTATCAATCAATCTCAAAAATATTCACTTGAGATAAATCCAATAACTATTTCGAATATTTTTTACAATTACCTGCAGAAATTAACGTGTAACGATTCGAAAACCTGCCATAAGTACACATACTGCCATGCAGCATGATGACGTTACTTTTTTATTTCCTCGAAGATTTTGCTAATTAACTAATTATAATTTAATATCAGTTCTTCAAATATAATAGTAAACTTTAATAATCGACTTTTCTTATAGACAGAAAGTACTAATTTATGTATCGCCATCTAGTGAAGAGAGAGAGAGAAATAGACAAAAATCCGTTGCAGTTTTATTTCATTAATAAAAAATCTGTAGGTTTGATTAGTGGTAAACATTTCGGGGATCATAAAAATGCTACAGTTAAAATTTGGTATCGATTGGTTTTTTAGTTTTCACTGTTAGTGGTCACAAACGAAAAATAAGTTGTCTGTTTATATTGTGAAAGTCCGAAACCCTTTTTCTGTTTTAGATCAGTATAAATCTAGGAATTTTCCTTGTAAAAGAGAAAAGGGGGACTTCCACGGTCAATGACCGAGACGCTCTCCTCGAATAAGAAAAAAAAGGGAGAATGTTAAAATATCAATAACAGAAATCACCTCTATTTGTTTAACGGTAATTCTATAGACGTTAAATATAGTGCACTCTTAATCGTGCACATCCCATCACTGCTCTGATTTCATCCTCATATTAACACCGAAAACTTTAACCAAATCAATACTAAATTTTTATACTCTCTCTCTCTGCCCTCTGTAAGAAATATAGACTATTGGTAAACCTTGAGACACCACTCTTTCCCTTATTTCACGCTTCTTATTGAGCGATTTGTACATGGTAGACCACTCCCAAATTTATCAATAGTTAATATAGTAAGATAACAAGTAGTAAGATAAAAATCATATGCAGTAATACGATGAGTGGAGTCCACACAGATCTGCTGCCTAGAACCTTTAATAATCCTTTTTGAATGGCTAACATCATTACCTACATAAAATCTTCAATACCAAGTTTCTGTTAAGAATCATCTTCGCCATGCTCCTTAAAATATACAATTGGAGAAATTTTTAATGATTTCATTTTATCCACACATAGTTGCACACTGATTTTATATTCAAGATGGTATTTCTTTTTTTACTGAATGTTGTATGCACACTTAATGTTTGGCAAATCTTATCTGGTTACAAAATGAATGTGACAAAGTCTCGAATGTCATCTAAGATTTTATGTAGGATGATGCCATTAGCAAGTTTTTCTGAAAAGTAAAATATTAATAATAAATCATTTATTACTTATTGCAATCAACCAGTACGAAACACTTTACCTGCAAGAACTGTTTTTCACTATCAAACAAATAGACTGATTGCAAGACTATGATCATGAACACAGTGATTTTTGTGGTTCTTAACTATTATTAAATTTGATGTGATGAAAAAAATCAATAGTTTTCCACTTTTGCAAGGTTCCTGTAATTTAATTTGCCGTTTATACCAACGTGCTTTTGAAATATAATTTCCGGATTGATGACATGTATAGACTTTTCTGAATTTTCCATTTCCAATTGTTGTTGGAAGACTTTGTGATATAACAGACCATTGTATTATCTTTTCTTCCCTGTCTTTCCAGAAAGAATCTACAACGATAAACGATTTCTCAGATAAATTCATTTAATTGTTTTGGCTATTTGTAACTTATAAACCTGTTACTATTATTTACACTTTTACTTCAAGTAAACAAAAAACACTCCACAACAAGTCCACTGTTAGTGAGAGTAAAATTAATCATTGTAAATTACTACTTTTAAAACACAGAAATTATGGCTTAACTTGACACTTCAAACTTACATGACATATCATTAAATATCAACTGCTATTCACATTCTTCATATACATGATTTTTTAATTAATTAATTAAAAATACTGCCTTAAACTTTTAAATTAGATACGTGATGAGTTCAAACATTGTTCACTCAAAGACAATGGAAAGATAGACTTTTTCTTGAATTACAAGTCACAATGTTAAGTAAAATATATCGATATCTAATTAAACTTTTCTTTGTATTCGTTGTCACAATTGTTTCAAATAAACATTTCGAATGCATACTTTTTCAAAAACAAAAATAAACACACAATAACAGTGTTACGATCGCTATAATACAAAATCAATAAAATCCAACATTGTTGTTTTTTAAGGAAATCATATTCGCGAGTAGAGATTGGAAAACAGTTTTTCGGTTTTACAATAGTACAGTAGACTCTCTGAATGTGTATTTATGTAATTTCGTCCTTATTTAACGTAACGGATAAAGAAAAAGACGTACTATACATTTTAAACTGTAATTTTGTATAAAATTTTTACTAAAAAGAAGTTAACCTGTAATTCAAAATATAAACTATAAAACTTTTTATTTTTCAGATAACCAGATTAAGACTTTATCCGAAGAACATACTAAAGCAGCAGAATGAAAATTGATTTCGTAAGACGATTTCTTTGCTATATTTTTAAGAAGTTAGGAAACACCGTTGGAAGGCATCCATATTACTTTATTATTATACTTATAATTCTCTCCATAACTTTATCAATATTTATTGGAAAATTAAAATCAAACAACAGTTTCATGGAAATAATAACTCCGGACACCGGGAAGCAATTTAAAACTATGAAATTCATAGAAAATATTTTTTCGTATAATTCATCTTCAATTTTCTGATCAGATAAGAATTCCTAATATACCCAATTTTATGTTTATATATCTGTTGAAGAAAGATGAAAGAAATATGTTTGAGAAAGGTGTTCTTTCTGAAGTGATACTAATCGACAAAATCATACAAAATATAACATTAGAAACCAATGGGATGTCAATAACATATCGTGAAATCTGTGGTTTTATGAACAGAAAATGCTTCGAAAATCCTATTATTGAAGTGATATCGGAAGTGGGAATAGATTCCATACTACAAAAGAGAAAAAAGCTAAAGTATCCAATGGATATAGATTTCTTGAGTTTCACTTATAAAGCTTACTTTTTAAATTTAGAAGGTGTTACTGAAGATAATGACAATTTCGTAGAGAAAGTAAATTCCATTGGTCTAGTTTATCTAACTGATGATAAAGATAAAGTAAAAAGCGGATTGTTTAAAAAAATGGTCGTATCATGTTTACGAAAAGATTCAAAAATATAATTTTACATATATCAAAGTCATCCCAAATTCTCCATTAATTGCAGAAAAAGAATTTCACAAAGTAATTGATAAAACAAAACCTAAAATTGGAGGTGTCATTATAATTATGATTGTACTTTCGATATTTTTCAATATGAGCAATAAGTGGGTTAGATGTAAACCTTTTCTTGGTTTTGCTAGTGTCATAAATGCTAGTTTGGCTGTTGCATCGTCTTTTGGATTACTAGCTGCATCGGGTGTAGAAAGTACTTACTGGAATGTCATCATTCCATTTTTAATTCTTGGTAAGTAAATTACTCATGCTGTAAACTTACTCTATAGATAGTGTTGTTGAAATATTTAATAAATTTTATATACGTTGTAGTGACCGAGATAGACGATGCTTTCGTATTAATAGGATGTTGGAGGATTTCTAATCCTAAATGTACAGTTGAGAGATGCATGGAAGCAACATATGAAGAAGCTGGAGTTTCCATCACACTCACATCACTCACTAATTTTCTTTCGTATTGCATAGGAATGATGGCTCCATTTCCTTTTATTCGAATATTTAGTTATTACACTGCAACTTGCATAATGTTCAATTTCGTGTATCAGATAACGTTTTTTGGAGGATGCTTGGCGTTGAGTGGATATAGAGAAGAAAAGGATTTTCGTTCTAGAAAATTTGTTAAATGTGGTAAGTTGAAATTTATCTTTAACAAGAGATTATATTTCTGAAATTTAATTTTTTTTTCTGTTAAGTATATAAGACAATATTTTAGAAATATTCTTAACATGTCAGGGGTTATAGGAGTGATATTTGTTAATCTAAGATTTGATCCTTTATTTTTCTTTATATTAATTATTTTGATTTGACTATATTTGAAGTATAATTCGAAGTTTAATTCTTATAATAAACTCATCCTTACATTAAAAAAATATATTTAACATAAAATATATTAAACAGTAGATATTATCTGTGTATTAAACTTCATACATGCAGAAGCCTAGAATTGATCTCGATACATAAAACTATTTTAAATATCAATTATCACTTTATACATATTTATATTGTAATTAAAAATATGACTTAATAATAAAATAATTACAATATTATAAATTTATGCTTAATTGAACAGTTTCATCAGAATCATGCTGATTCATGCATTTTACGAAAGTTCTTTAATGTACAAACTCCCGAATACGCTACTGTATGAAAGGTAATAGAAATGACATATGCAATTTGCCGTCAAATGCAAAAAGTAGAAATTACCATTCACAGTTTAAAATGAACATTCAGTTTGCAACCTGTTCATTGCACTGTACATTGCAATTCCATAAGATCGCATTCTACGACAAATTGTAATTTAAACTGTATCTTGACAACGTTTCAACTGCATTGTTTATATTAATTAGGGATAAAGTCATGTACGATGTCTGAGGGTAGTACTATACATTATCGGCAGGGGCGGACTGGCCATGTGGAAAATGTGGAAAATTCCACATGGGCCGTATACAATTTGGGCAGTTTTTTCTAAATATGTACTGTACATAATGTACCGTTTGGTTAAGTTTAATTTTAAAAACTTTATATATTTTTTTTCTTAAGTAAGATGTATAATATAGGTATATGTGTAGGCCTGTATCATTTTACCCGGCCCTACCCGTATTCGAAGTTAAATTAGTTCGGCCGATCTGAGTCAAACACTACATTAGCCCGATTCGACCCAAACAGAAAGCATCTTAGAAGAAAAATAATCAAAACTACCTTCTAAATAGAGAAAATTTGTCATTTGTTTACATTGCTTGAAACTATTCACCTCTCCTATGAATCTTAATGTTAAACTATAGAAATGCGAGTTATTAATTTTGTACCTAGCCACCCAAGCGATGATTGTAGTCATAACAAATTTAATGGCCACTTATATTATTTCCTTTATTTTAGGTAAGTAAAAAATATTATTCAATAATAATTTCTCTATATTCCAAACGATTTAATTATAATTAATATATTTTGTAGTGTGAGACCGGAACCTCACCCCCTCTCCAATAGGAAACTGGTTGTCGAACTAAAGCTAATAAATCGATTATTTATTTCGTAAACAAGAAGGAGTGTAAGACGATTTAATTGTCGCATTCCCGGACCAAATTCACACGTCTTCGATCTAGATCAGGGAAAGTCGGAGAGAGAGCAACCGGGGAGAGTTCGACTGTCATCTTACAGCGAGTTCAAAGCACATTAGACCAAAATTTACGGGACCGTCACTAAATATTCCTGAAAACGCATTTCAAAAATTAAGCAGTATTTTAATACAGTTTAATCCAGTAGCTACCCAACACAATATTATTTCAGAATTGCAACATTTTAAATCGTCATGGAATATTTTAAAGGAAAATGTCAATGAAACTTTTATAGAATTAAACGAAAATGAACATTCTACTGATGATCAAGTAGAAACTAATAAAGATGCGATTTTATCCTCTTACTGCATTGCTTGCAAAAATTGCTCTATTTGTTGTTATAATATATTATTCAGATATAACATGTTAAGTGGCG